TCAAACAGTATTTCAATCCAAAAGTCATTACAAACAAGATCCCTAACACCTGGAACTAGGGTTCTTCATACCCAAGTGAGAGAAGGGTCTACTCCATAGAGAGAGAGAGAGAGGAAAACATAATTCAAAGCAGTCATACTCATAACGATGGGAAGAATCTGCTCTAGGATGATAATCTTCACTCCAAGGACGAAATCCATGCTTGATTGATGAAACCCAGCTCCATAATCAATCCTAGGGATTGTTCTTCGCACTTTCTCTCCTTAGGACTATGTTTTTTTCTCCAAAAATCGTCTCCCTCTTCAAAGACCCGAAATTGGGTTAAAATCCCAGTTCTGCCTGATCACACGGCCAGGCCACACGGCCGTGTGGAATTTCCAGCTTGACCGTGTAACTTCCCAAAACGCCGCGTTCGATTTAGTGACTCAAGGTACACTACACGGCCAAAACGACACGACCGTGTGGAATTCCAGCCAGCTCGTGTGAAGCCTCTGAAATCCCACATGGGCAAAGTGCCCCTTACACGGCCCGTGTGGCCTTGCCCGCGGAAAAGAGTGTGACGGCAGTGTGGGAATCTGGTAAGGCCGTGTGGATTCCTCAGCTTTTCTTCAAACATCCCAACTTCGTCCAATTGACCCCCGAACTCGTGCCCAAACCTTCATTCACGTACTAGGACCTAAAATATCATAAACAAGAGCATCATAGCGTGAAATCGGTTTAAAACACCAGAAATGAGGCTCAAACAGTATAAGAATGGTGGACAAAAACATGTGTAAATATCGAGTCATCTAATTCCCCCACACTTAATTGTTTGCTTGCACACAAGCAAACCTAACTCAAACCAATGCGAGTACTACGAGGTAAACTGGTGTTCTAAGACGTCCTCTATCGCTGATACACTTAATCGTTTTCTCTCCAGACCTTTACTGTAACATTGGGAGGAATCTGCTTTGTGATGATAATTTTCACTCCTAGGACGAAATCCATGCTTGATTGATGAAACCCAGCTCCATAATCAATCATAGGGATTGTTCTTCGCACTTTCTCTCTCTAGGACTATGTTTTTTGCTCCAAAAATTGTCTCCCTCTTCAAAGACCCGAAATTGGGTTAAACCCCCAGTTCTGCGTGGCCTGGCCGTGTGGAATTCCCAGCTTGCCCGTGTAACTTCCCAAAACGCCGCGTTCGATTTAGTGACTCAAGGTACGCTACAGGGCCAAAACGACATGGCCGTGTGGAATTCCAGCCAGCCCGAGTGAAGCATCTGGAAATCCCACACGAGCAAAAGTGCCCCTTACACGGCCCATGTGGCCTTGCACGCACAAAAGAGTGCCACACGGCCAAGTCACACGGTCGTGTGGGAATCTGGTCAGACCATGTGGATTCCTCAGTTTTTCGTCAAACGTCCCAATTTTGTCCAATTGACCACGAACTTGTGCCTAAACCTTCATTCATGTACTCGGACCTGAAATATCACAAACAAAGAGAACCCTAGCATGAAATCGGTTTAAAACACCAGAAATGAGGCTCAAACAGTATAAGAATGGTGGACAAAAACATGTGTAAATATCGAGTCATCAGTCCCCTTCTTCATATTCTTCAATGTTGAGAAAAATAAAATGTCTGCCGAGCTACAGTTGTCAATTAGCGTTCTTGTAACTTTGTATTTTCCTGTGCGGAATGAGATGATCAAAGGATCTTTAGTTGTTTTCGGATCGACAAGTTATGATTAACTGAATGTCACTTTTGCTTGCGGGCCTGTTTCCAGAGTTAGGACTTGAGCTATCTAACCTTCGCTCGATCAAGGTCTCTTCTTACTCCCTCCAACGATTGTTATAATTTCCAGGTCATCTTCATCATGACGCCATTGCCTTCCATCCCGCAGCGTGGAAGGCGACAACGGTAATCTGGCATGCCTGGGAGTTCAGGATCGGTTCCTTTTGGGCGAACGTGACCTTCTTTGGTCCCTTGATCTGGAACTATCCCTAGGAGAACAACTGCATCTTTGTCTAGGGGAAAGTGGCATTCAACGTTCTCTTGTTTCATGTCTCTTAGCCTCCAGTCTATTGCGTAGATCTCTAGGAGCGAGATTTTCCAAGCTCATCTAGAAATCTCGACAGTCTATGGTATTATGCGTATTTCTCTGGTGTCATTCACACCATTTTTGATTGACCAGAGCATCTGAGCGCCTCGGATCTTCAATCTTGCCCCTTTTCTCGCGGGCCCGGTAAGGGTGCTCCTCTCCTTCCTTCCTAGTCGCGGATACCTCCATGCGCCCATCGCCTCTATATGCTTTCGCTTTGAAATTATGACGCTTGGGGGATTTCCCCGGCGCGGGGGTGTGCGATTTCCTTTTTTCCCCCTCGCGTGGTTTTCCTTTTCCATCTCTAGTGCTCCCAAGAGCGTGCGCGTCTTCTATAGCCAGGGCTTCTTCCAGAGTTATGGCTCACCGGACTAGGTTATCCAGCTCTGGCTACGTATTTAGGCAATGTTATTTTTTGATCAACACCCTCTGTAGCTCTTTGCTGCATGTCGACATTCTTATGTTTCCCGGTGCGACTCCGAGCGTGATCCCTTGGATTTCACTCGTTATTGTTCCATCTATCATAAAATTCCGATAGCATTTCTCTGTCCCCCTGGCGACAATTGATCAAAGCAAATATTGTCATCTTGTGGCGTATTTGGGAGGTGAACTTTGATGAGAACATTGTTGCGAATGTTCAAAATTTTGATGATGCCCTCTAGAAGTGATGTGAACCATGTCCTACACTGTCCCCCAAAGGTTATTGGGGAAGCCTTGCAAAGATCCGCTTCTGAGACATTGATCATTTGCATCTTTAAGTAAATGCACTCAGGTGATCACCGGGATCAGAGCTCCCATTGTATGTTGGTAGTCCCAACGATGAGACATTGGGCGGCAACGAGTTTTTGAACAGTCTCTTCACCAGTGGGTTATGTAGTACACTGGGACCCTTCCCTTTCCTGCTTCCCTTCTTGAAGCTTGATTGTAAGTGTTCTTCCAGGAAACTCAGATCCACCTCTGGTTGCTTTTCTTCTGTTTCCACATCGTCTAGGTCAACAACCTGCTCCTCTTGAACACTTCAATTGATCGCGAAAGAATTTTCTACCGCTACTATAGAGTATTCGTCTCTATTTGGTGATAAAAAAGCATTCGTTTTTTTTATCTGTCAGAGATTTTATAAAATGGGCTTTCTAAAGACCCCCAAGGATCAATCTTGGCATGAATTGATAAGAATCCAATAAGTCCAACATTTATTCATTCAGATGTGTCAATTGGGAAAATGTGTCCATATTGACTAGGATGGATATCTCGTATCCGAAAACTAGAAGTTCACCCCGTCAATCGCCCCCGAACCCAAATAACTCCTTTTTCTAACTTGAGATATTTGGGTCAATGGATTAGTTCGATCCCCTTTCTTCGCTCCAGAGCTCTCCGAACGAGTGTCTTCCTGATTTTTTTCTTCCCGCATAAGGGCCAAGATTCGACCAATGCTATCCTTAATTTCAGAAATTTGCTTCCCGTGTCTGTTGACTTGGTCCTCTAGTTCCATTTCGTCCTCAATTCGAGTTGAGAGCTCTCTCAGCATTTGCGTGTTGGTTAGTCCCTTCAGTGGAGTCATTGAATTTACCGCCATCACTTGCGACAAGAAGACTGGATCTTTCCGAATGTGGCCCCACGGTGGGCGCCGAATTGCTTAAGTTTGGAATGTACCAGGCGTATTAGGTGACCACATTGGGACCTCGCCTCTTGTCAGATGCGTGGAGGTGGTGTTGACTCCTACACTAAGAGTCTGGAGGCGGCAGCCTCAGACACTCTCCAAAGAGCAAGGTAAATGTATTTAGAGATCAAAGAAAGTAGAGTGAAGAGTGGGTACTTCAGTTACCATTAAATGATGTGATTGGGTGGTATTTATAGCCAATAGTCACTCGTACGAGCATTTAATGCCTATCGTGCGTGTACCGGAAGTCACTTTCACGAGGCCACGCTTGTGGTCCCATTTAATGTTGTGTCAGTGTTGGTATGATTAGCACTATTGTTGTCTTATCGAACGTACTTTACCTATACTCCGCCTCCGACACCACTTAATGCGTAGTTTATAATATGCCCTGTCCTTAGCTTCTCGTTGTACGCCTTAAGGTCCCGCATCGGTTTGCTTATTGGGCCGAGTTGGCTTACATGGGCCCAGGCTTACGTGGCAATCCCACTTAGCCTAACAGTTACAGTCGTTCGGACTTTCGTTTGTTTCGTCAATGGCAGACAATAAAGAGGGAGATGAAGCATCCGCCACAACTGTTAAGGATTTCAATCGGAGAGCTCGAGACACGGAGGCAGAAGCAAGGTGGGATTTGAGAATCTGAATCCATTTGATTGACTAGGATATCCGCATTCTCTCTAGCAGGCTCACCCCTTCATTGCTCCCGATACCGCGTGCCATTGCCAATTCAATCAAGTGCCATATCGCAAATCTCTACAACTAAACCCTTGGAAGATGAACCTAATGATCTCGAACTTCCCCATGATAGTGGATGTCGATGCTGGGGAAAGACTCGAGGATTGGGCCTGGTATTCCATGCGGGCCGACAGCAAGGGCCGACAAGGAAAATAAAGGATTGAATGACTCGCAGTATGAGAGGTTCAATTCGGAATAGGAGAATAATCGAGAAATAATTACGGAAAAAAATTATAAGATAAATATTATTTTATTTTATTAAATTATTCATTTTTATTAGTTTTTATTGTCCACATGGCATCCACATGAGCATATCATGCTTCTCATTACTGGTCTAGATAGTGCATCGTTTAGGACATAATGAGAATTTTAAAAATTACAAGTCAAAGTTGATTATTTGTGTACTGTTGGCATCAATTTAAGGTATTAACCCTCAAAAAAGATATGTTTATTTTGAGACACCATAGATGCCACGCTCTTGAGATGTTGGCACTGATATAAAATTAACGGCTCAATTCCACACCGAATTTCAAATATGTGCCTTAGGTGCCTCGGTAGTTGTCCAGGCAAAGGTCTCTTCCGGACGTGCGGGTCCTCGCGCTGGGTTGCCGTGTCCTTGAGGGATGAGGATTGAGGATGACTCGTGTTCTATTTCAAGGCAAAGCGCACTGCCATTCTACTATTTTTCTTAGGTCTGCCGCTACTCTCTCATTTACCGTACGTTGCTAAAATCTCGCTTCCGCTTTAGGGTTTTTATCATTTTCCCCAATTAATCATCGATCATATTCGACGTCTGTCTATATCAGAAATCTCAAATCCATTCTGCTCTTGATTTTGGCATAAAGCTCAGATTGGGTTATTGAGATAAAAGGGAACGCAACCAGACCAACGGAGCTCTGATTCTCTGCTTCTTTCTTCTGCCTTTCGACGGTACCAATCTCGACCTGGTAGTAGGCCCTAATATCCCTTCTTGTCTCCGCGATGAATTCGCAGATGCCCGTGGCCGCTGTTGCTTCGTGTCCCTCTCTTCTTTCTTCTTCCGGAGCGCCCTCGTTCTTTTCTTGGTTCGGGGGGCGCGGCCACTGGTTCTAGGTCTATTTGATGAAGTCGACGCGATATATAATTCCGTACCTTAGAAGTTAATTGAGCGCTATTTAAGTTTTAAGGGATGACTAATGAAATCACCCGTTAGTTCTCGGGAGAGAAATTGGGCGTTCTTTGCACCACGTTGTCTTTTGGCCGAGTCTTGCAATGGTTATTTGTGCTGGATTATCAGCAAAGGGTTGTCTTTCTGAATGTGATCTCTCATGTTTCAGCCTCACAAGCTTGGTTGGTTTTGCTGTTGATTAATAGTGTGTTCATTCTGCTGTTCTCTTTGGGTCATGTTGATCTGTTCTATACTGCTTTGGCTAACTCCGTCATCATTCATTAGAATCAAAGAACTCTGTGAAGATTTCTTTTGATTCTAATTTTGATCCTCTGTGCTACTTTTCTCAGTGCCGCAGCTGGCGAAGGTCCAAGAAAGTTGGGATATAACACAGTCGAATACCCTGAAAGTAAATTCTATGTGCAACTAGTGATTGTTCTACTAACATGAGCATTGAACCTTTCAACAGGTGAAATTCCTTCTCCGCAGTTGTGCAATTTCTTTAATTTCATTGCTGCACTGAAGTTTTTTCCTTCTTTTTTAAAAGGTTTTTGATGTTTAGGAGTGCTGCTATGGCTTCTTGTTTCTGGTTAATTTATCATTTTCTTTCGTAGAAAATTGATAAATAAAATGGAACAATGAATATAGGTTAGTGAAGCTTGCGGCTAGGGCATTTTATGATGATTACACGACAAAGGGGGATAATCAACAGAAGATTGGGCGTAGTGACAATAGAGGAGTGGCCGTGGTGATCCTCGATGCTCTCACCAGGTAAGAATTCAACATCTTATTTTTTTTTTTCTTTTGATTTATTGTTATTCTCTCAGAAGCTAGATATAGATTCAATTTTTTTTTACTGGTTGGATACCTGTTCTTCTTCACTCAGGCATGGTTGTATGTAGCGATACATATCAGGGCTGCCCTGTAAATACAAGGAATTTCCAAAATATTGATTTCAATTGCTCAGTGCTAGTGGCAGGAGTGTTAACATACATGCTTGCCTCCACTGTTTCACTTATAGAGCAAGAATTTTCATTATTGCATACCAGCATTTGTTACTGGTACATGTATTTTGTATGCTGACATTTTAGTGTAATGTCTAGGAGAATTACTATTCAATAGTCAATGTAATTAAGTTTCAGTTTTTAATTGTTATAACATAGACGGCAATGGGTCAGAGAAGAGGATCTGGCGAAGGATTTAAAAATACATACAAAGCAACTCCGACGCACTCTACGGTTTTTCGAGGAAGAAAAGCTGGTCACTCGTGATCATAGAAAAGAGGTTGCTTTTTATTTAAGCTCAAGTTGACTATTACATGTTGGATAGTGTTTGCATGTGCTGCTTTGTATCAGTTAGTCATTGCCATTACTAATTAGTATTTAGTAAAGATTAGTGATTGATTACACATGATAAATTTGGAATAGTTAGTCTTAGAGAAAGCCTGTATGTATAAGAGGAGTTCACCACCACTCAAGAGGTGCTTTTATACTTATGGCTCATATCTTCCATTACCAGAGAATGTAGTTGTTCCTTGCTGATGTGTGTGAAGGTTATTGTCTATTGCAAGCTAAAGTTTGTACAAAGATCCCAATACTAAATGTGGTGGTTTTATCATTGTGTGTACTATGTTTGGTTACCTTTCTTTTAACATTTGTATCCTTCAATTCAATATGTCTACTGCCTTGCAAATTTACAGATGTTTAACCCTCTGGTTTTGTATGTTTTCTTAACTACAAACTGGAACCTGACGCTGATAGATATTATTGTATGTTGAAAGTGAGATTTATGACTTTAACTCGGAAATGAGCTTACTTAACAATTGAATAACTTTGATGACAAAGTGTACAGTAGATGTTTATGTATTGCCTGCTACACCCAATTGAGCTAGTTACAAATAACATCTTCCTTTATATGTCCGTTTTCCTTAAAGTACTTTGTTTGGTGCTTAAATTTTACTACATAGACGGCAAAAGGTGCAAAGTTATATACTGCTGCAGTAGCTGCTACTACTGAGGTTCAACATAGTAAAGGAGAGGATAAGGTTAAGCTACACACACACTCATACTGCTGCCTGGATTACGCACAGGTTCCTCTCCCATTTTTGTCCTTCATCTGTCTGTGGTTTATCCCTGCATGCTCAACCTTTCGTTCTGCTTTTTTGATTTGCCTGTGCACTATATACATTATGAATTGTGCTGCTGAATATCTGAGGTAGAATTTGCATGGCAGATATATGATGTTGTCAGGTACAGAATGCACCGCATGAGGAAGAAGTTAAAGGAGGATTCGGAAGGAAAAAACACAATTCAAGAGTATGTGTGTCCCAACTGCGGGAGAAGGTACCTGCTCAATGGGTTTTTTTTTTTTTCAACTGCTATTGATTTATGGAGATGCGTGTTCCATTCATACTGTAACAAGTATGAAGTTGCTTCTGAACTTGGTGTTTCTCATCAATATTAGATACAATGCTTTGGATGCCCTGCGATTGGTTTCCATGGAGGATGAATCTTTCCATTGTGAGAATTGCAATGGTGAACTTGTGGCAGAGAGTGATAAGTTAACTATTCCAGAAGGAGGAGATGGAGATGACAATGCAAGGAGGCGAAGGCGTGAACAAATAAAGCACATGCTTCAGAAAATGGATGTATGTTTTTCTCTCTAGCTATTCAGCTTGACTGTGCTGCTTGTAGGGTGTACATTGCTCTCATCCTGACCTTGCACAGAGAAGGACATGGAGTTTTGTTTATGTGAGTTCAGAAAAATGTATATTGTAAATAGTAGTTCATATTTTTAGGGTAGTGTAAATCAGTAATGGGTTCAATTTAGTGTCTAGTTTCCGAAATCTGACTCAAAGCTCCTTCCCATGCCCCTTAGTTACTTCAGATTGTTATTCTTTGTTTCTAGCGGGTAAGATTTGGCAATCTTATAGAGACGAGGTTACTTTTGTTGACAATGGTTTGGACGCTATGTTTTTTTTAGTGTGTGTATTTCATTCAAGAACTGATAGTCTAGTGCTTCAAGGTCAATGTGGTTTGTTTTAGAACAAGATATTAGAAAGGTAGGACTGGAATACCTTTTGTCGTTATGGTAATTTTGGTTTCACAGTCAGCTAAATAGCATTTCTTGACTCACTAGTTGAGTACTTAGATTCTTATAGAAGTACTTTTTTGAAGATACTTTATGGGTCTTGAGGTTTTTCACGCATTTAGTGTGAGGCGATATGCATTTATAGTTACTGGAAAATATCCTCTCGTTGTGTTCGTATGTTAACTTACACGTGGTGGGCATATAATTGGTAACAGACGCATCTTAAGCCACTAATCGAGCAGCTGAACAGAGTGAAAGATATCGCTGTTCCTGAGTTTGGAAATCTCCTAGCATGGGAAGCTAGAGCAAGTGCTGCCGGTCGTGCTAGAAATGGTTCTGATTCCAATGATCCTTTCCAGACATTCCAAGGATATGATGGAGCCCCGTTACCATATCTTGGGGAGACAAAGGTACTGTTTTTTTCCTCTTCCTTTGCCAATATCAAGTTCCACCTTTGAAAGTTCTTTAACTATCTTGTCCTGTCTATGTTTAGTGGGCTTAGATATTTTCTCCAAAATTCGCTTTGTTACGGTGTTAAATCTGTAGAATAGTCATAATTCTCTGCACCAGTCCAACCTGTAGTTACACCTGCCCTTTATAATCTAGTTAAAATCCGAAAGTAACATATCTAATCTTCATAACTAATCTTTGGTGATTAATCTTCATAACTAATCTTCAGTTTCCTTTACCATTGAAGAAGATGGAAATTGATGATTTGCGAATTCTTTACTTATAGAACATCTCGGTTCCTCTACTGTAAGCATTTGGTTAGTGTTTGTGGCAGGTTGAGGTTGCTTTTTCTGGTATTGATGGCAAGGAAGAGGATGCCAAATCTGAAAGTGCAGGCGCAGCGCTAAAAGTATTCCCACCATGGTTGATAAAACCAGGAATGAACATCACAGAGGAGCAACGAGGAGAGGTGAAGCAGGAGTCGGAGATGGTTGGCAGCTTGTCCTCAGGGTTCTCAGATGACAATAAAACTGTCTCTGAAGATGATGAGAAAAAGCTTTTACAGGTCTGTGTTGTTTGGTTAAAGCCATTAGCTTTACGGTATAGTTTCTATTAGCTTTACGGTATAGTTTCTATTTCTTCATATGTGGTGAAAGTTTATCTTGCTGAGTTCATGAAGCGACATGAGCTAGAAGCTGCAAATAAGCAACAGGAGGTGCTGGAGACATCCGATTGGAATGGTCCTCCAGAATCCTCACCGCAACGTCAAGTTGGGATGAAGTTCAAACGTGAAGACGACGAGGGAGATGATGATGTCGACTGGGAAGAGGCCCCGATGAGAGGTGAGAGCTCTAATTACAGGGTGCATGATTTGAACAAGGAAGCAAAGGCTACGCCAGAGGATGAGGATGAGGATGAGGATGATGATGATGATGATATAGACTGGGAAGAAGGGTAGTTGGCCTTGAATCCAACAGTTTCCTACCATGCTAACAATTCCTTTTGTTTTTGTCCCATATATTTGGGGGAATATTCCGGTAGGGCAAGTTGAAATTTGAAAGCTGCTGGACCAAAAAAACTGCTGTTCTTCAATCAAGTGCGCTACTTTGATGGCGTCTTGCTTGTTGGATTTGAATTGGATTTATTTGAATTGGATTTGTTGCATTTTGTATTTGAAAGATAACATTGCTTGTTTAGTTGATTTTGATGATGGATTTAAAGATTTTTGTACCATGGCTCACATATTCATCGCAACCAACTCTTGTACAGATAGAACGACGGAGAAGAGAGGGGTACGCTTCAAGAAACCCACTCAGCTCAACTTCGCTGGCTCTCTCTGTCTTGGGGGCTCAATCTCACCGGGGATCCGGACATGGAAATTAAAGAATATCGAAGTGAAGTTCACAGTCGCCGCGATGGTGGTGGTGGGGCTTCTTGATATTATGAGGGAAGACAACGTCGTTTCTGAGATCGATGACTGCAGGCCTCTTATGCACGTAGTCAGGTCGCAACAGTAGGGTGGACGAATAGCCGAGTGGGTGGCGGGGTTCCTCGCGGTTTAAATCCTTGCCATCGCGCGTTTGAAAGGGCTAGCCGAGTGGGGAAAACCAAGGATGTCGACAGGATTGGGAAAATAGAAACCCGCCTCCAGTTCTTCAAGATCATCGCCCTCTCCGCTATCTTTTGTTTCTCCTTAGTCTGCGACAACACCTCCCACCTCTACTTCTCGGTCTCCTTCAATCAGGCCATCGGAGAAAGAATCGACAAGTGCCCACGTAGGACCTGGTAGGGATGGCAACAAAACCCAAACCCACGGGTACCCACCTGACCCAACCCGGTCAACGCGGGTAAAATCCGTGTTGACGGGTTTTGGGCCAGGTTTGGGTTTAAACCCGTTCACTATTCACCAGGTCGAGCTGGGTTTGTGTTTAGATAAACCCGACCTATGGGTACCAGCCCACACTCATATAGTTAATTTTCTCGGTATATCTAATATTCTAAACAACTAATCTTATTTATGTTTGTGGAGACATGTCTAATTTTTTCTTTCTAATTGTGTAGAATGAAGTTGATGCCATCGAGTGGAGAGTGAAGAAACTTAATTGAAAGGAAGAAGTTTTCAATTAATCATGTTATTTATGGATAATTTGTGATTTGCTTCAATTTTATTGAGTTTTCTAGATTGGTGTTGAACAATTTGTATAGTTAATTTGTGATTTGCTTGAATTTTCTAGAATGGTGTTTTTATATATGGATAATTTATATTGAGAGATTGATATTTGACTTTAATGTGGATAGAAATTTGTTATTGTAAATTTTTTACGACAAAAACCCGTGGGTATCCATGAACCCACGGATACCCAGCGGGTTGGGTTTGAGTTTTTCAAACCCAATGGATTTTACCACGGTTTTTTCACCGATAAACCCATGGGTTTGGGTTTGGCAAAACCCAACCCGACCCATTGCCATCCCTAGGCCCTGGTGGTAATGGTCGGGCAGAGCGGTTATGGCGCTGATGGTGGCTCTGATTTGGACTGACTGAGACTGAAAGAGTCGAGATCTGGAGGCAGAGTTACAAGGCGACGGTGTTGGTGATGGCAACTTCGCTGCAAAGGGGTTGAGATTCAGATTTTCACAAAGGGGTAAAGGGCGACAACGATGGTGGTAACGATTTGGAGGGCCGAAGGTACGAGTTAGAATTGGGAATTTTCAAAAGGGTTAAAGCGAAAAGTAAATTGGGAAAAGGTTGGAATCGTGAAGAACCAGGAACAATTTTTTTGTTTTTTTAATTTGTTTTGATTTTATGTATTTATTATTTACCTTTTTCTTATTTTTTAGCAACCGCAAGAATGAGGTGGAAATTTATAAGTATTAAAATTTTATATTTTATTAATTTTCTAATTTCCACGTCACATATTTAACGGTCAACTACGATAGTTGACTTGACTGCCATGTAAGCAAAAGTTAACGGAAGTAAACGGAGAGTGACCAATGATGAACCGAGAATAGAAAGTTAGTGACCACGAATGAAATTATATACTTTTAGTGACCAAATGTGAATCTTTTTAATGAACTCAGTGACCAACCTTGCAATTAACCCAATACATAATGCTTGGAATTTGAGTGTCAAATACATAACCTAAATCCCACAAGCAAACGATACCTTAATATGGGGACAGGTTACGGTGATTACTACAAAAGTAGTAATCACCGTGGTTACTAAGGGTAAATTGGGTATGGAAAAATAAATTATATTAATTAATTTTTTAATAAATTACATTTAAGGTAGTTACAAAAATCTATTAATTAAAATTCTCTCTTTCTCTCACTTCCGTAATCTCCAGCCAGATTTCCTTTCCATATTTTTCTCAATCTTTCTGGAAAAAAAAAACGAAATCAGTACCAATTCATTAGACAAACACTATCACTTTGAAAAACATCAATACCATTGCAGTAATAAATCTATACCATTACACGAAAACTACCATTGAAGAAATAAATTTATACCATTACACGAAAACTACCAATATAAACAATCTATACCATAAACAATCAATACCATTGTAGAAATAAATCTATACCATTACACGAAAACTACCAATATAAACAATCTATACCATAAACAATCAATACCATTGCAGAAATAAATCTATACCATTACACGAAAACTACCAATATAAACAATCTATACCACTGCACATTGAATCCATAAACGAAAACTACCAATATGTCTATTTGGTATGTATGTTGTGATGGTAGAGAGAGAGAGAGAGAGAGAGAGAGAGAGAGAGTAGAGAGAGAGGGTACCGAGGGTGGTCGGGGGCTGCTGCCGGCGGTGGCCGAGGGTGGTCGGGGTTGCTGCCGGCGGTGCGACGGGAGTGGTACGTGGAGGCGGTTGCGACGGATTTGGCTGGAGGGAGGATAGAACTAGAGTTTAGGTAGATTATATAGAATAATCGGGTGTGGTCACTTTTTAATTTCCAAAATTACCCTAAAAGAATCTTGACCGTAAGATTAAAAAAGAAGAAAAAATAATTGATCAAATGGTATATAAAGAGGTTGCCACCGTGATTACTAAAAAACAAGTAATCACCCTAACCCATTCCCCTTAATATGTGTTTTGATGTTGTTGTGGTTGCATTAATCTTATGACAAGAGAGGTACAATCACAACAACGTGAAAATAGATACAAATTTAGTTGATGATTTTGAGAAATAATGAAGGTTGATAATCATAATAAAAAAAGTGATTAGTCATTATAATGGGAGGAATTGGTGGCATTATCCGTTATGAGAAATTGAGGGAAAATGAGCTTGAGATAGGTCAGTAACCACTTATGGGCTGTTGATCTGGGGTGGAATCATTGTGTGAATGGGATTGACGCGGAGTGGGGAGGGGTATTTTTGTCCAATTTTAAAATTTTATTTCTTTCTTCTTCTATTTTCTATCATTTATATATTGGTTTTTAATGGAGAAAAGAGAAAACCAGACTTTTCTCTTCCTCTTCCTCTCTCTCTTTTCTCTTTCTCTTCCTCTCTTCCTTCTCTTTTACAAACTCCATTTTTAGTTCTAGATTTGTTCCCTTCTCTTGTTCTTCATTTTTTTTTTCTCCAACAATTGACAAAGAAAAATTGCAGCATCACATCTCAAATCTGGTGATGCTCCAAATCCTTCTTCTCTGCAGCTGCTCCTTCCTTCCGTTCTTTCTTTTCTCGACCTCAAAATAGATGACGCTCCATATTAACCAAGAGGGGACAGATCTAGGTGGGTCGAGTTTGCATGTTTTATATTTTAGTATTTGTTTTTGACTTTTCAATTCCGATCTTCCTGCTCTTTTTTTTGTTGTTGCATTTGGCGTTCTTGATTGCGGAGGAGAAATGAGAGGAGACAGAAGACGAGTTTTTTTTTCTCTCCCTCCTTCTGTTTTTCTTCCTTTTAGATAATATATATTGATATTACCACACTATACCATATGGTAATGTGTGCTAACTAAATGTATTTTTATTTTCACGAGTTCTATCATGGTGGTAGTGGGTGGTAATCGACTCCAGTTTCGAGAAAGAAGAGTTAGAAGACAATGAAGTTGGAGAAGAAAGTGAAGAGAGTCGTAATTGTGTGTGTGTATATATATATATATTGAGATTTCCACACTATATCATATGGTAATGTGTCTATACCATATGGTAAAGTTTGGTAACGAAATGTATTTTTATAGATATCATGTTTTACTATGGTTGTAAAGGGTTGTAATTAGATTTATATTATTTTTGTATGGTTTTACCTTCTCATACCATGTGGTATTGTATGACAATTACAATTAATTTGTGTTCATTCGATTAACCATGTTCTACTATGGTGGTATTGTATGGTAGTAGGATTTATAATTTTTTGTAACATGTTTTACCATGTTATACCATGTGGTAGTAGTTGAATTTGTAATTTTATTTTAGCATGTTATACCATATGATATGATATGGTAAATAGATTTATAAATTTCTGTAGCATGTTTTACAACATTATACTAAGTGGTATACTGGTATTGTATGGTAGTTAGATTTGTATATTTTTTTCAACGTATTTTACCATGTTTTACCATGATAGTAGAAAGTGATAATAAATTTCATATTTGTAATTACGGTCTTTAGCACTAAATTATTTAACAAAAAAGTCATCATTCAATTTGAGTTGAAATTTGAACAGAGATAGCTAGAATGGTTATATTCATTTTTATTGTAGATGGAAGAGAGAGAAGAAATAATGTACTTTTTTAAATAATAAAACAAAGAGTAAAAGAGAGTGTGGGGGAGTGGGATTCGTGTCAGACCGTCAGCGTCGGCATTAGATAGGGGGTGCAATTTACCCTATTACCCCTCCGTGTTTAATTTTAATAAAAGAAAAAGGCTGACACGTGGGGGCCAGGGGAAGGGGTTACTGATGGTTACTGATGAGACAGTTACTGAAAATACAATTTATTAGCCAAATCTTTCAAATTGTTTAAATTATTAGTCAAACATTTCAAAATACAAAATATTAGCCAAATCTTTTACAACACACCAAAGTATTAGCCACTTGTTTGTTACTGTTAGTAATTTTGTAACTATTTTCTTGGTTAAAATACTAAAATTTTGGAATGTTGACCTGCATGTGTCTCTTCTAAATTAGTATCATGTTGTCAATTCAATATTACTAACAAAACTGCTAACAATAGTTAACATTTAGCTAATACTTTTAATTTGAAAATTTTGGGCAATATATTATATTTACCCGCTAAAAATCAAATTCCAGAAGTTAGAAAATTTTGAAATCTCAAAAGCAAAATAAAGTAGGCGGCATTTCCCACTATGGGTCGTGATTATGAAGGGAGTTTTATGATTTATCCCCGCCTAGCCTAGTCCTA